AAAATTTATCAAATAATAGATCGATTTCTAAGTGTTTTTATGCATTATTTTAGAAATACAGATAAATGTCATTAATTGAGTATTGAATCGCTATAAATGTCTATAGATTGCAATACAATACAATACACTTGACATAGTTGTCAAACTAATTATTTGAAAATTAATTGCTTCCGAATTAGTTTATTATTTATACAATTTTTCTAAATTTTTTCAATTTTATAATAGACTGAATTTTGGGGAATATAACATAAAACATTTGTAATAAATTCATTCATTATTTAGAGCTTTAGAGCACAATCTCTCGAAACAATAATTGGTTTGACTACTATGACCAGTATGAATTTGATGAACTCGTAAAATACACTGAATTTTTTACTGAAAACTATTCTGTTGATTAAAACATCGTTTTTAATAGACAAACAGATATCATGTGTTAATATAATTGTCCTCAATATGTATAATAATTCAATAATGAATTGAGATCATTGTCAACAACATAAACAAAAAGCATTTTTAAATTCAGTTTAAAATGTTTTTTAATCATTTACTTGTAAAGATTTATATATGAATAGTGTTTAACTACATTTAATATTCTAAAATTAAGTAAACATTATATTAAATGAGACTGTATTTAGTAAATTCTGACATTTCTTATGCAGCTTTATATCAAACGATTTGATGTTTTATATATAATTTAAATTATTTATTAATTCTATATTATTATATATTAATGGACTTTTCAACAAACATTTCTACTTTTCGTTTTTTTCTGACATTTCTTATGCAGCTTTATATCAAACGATTTGATGTTTTATATATAATTTAAATTATTTATTAATTCTATATTATTATATATTAATGGACTTTTCAACAAACATTTCTACTTTTCGTTTTTGTTTCGATTTAATTTAAACATTTATTTATTTTAATGTAACATTATTTCAATGGAAAAAGTTTATTTATAACAAAATTATAAAATTTGTCAATTATATCTCAATGATTAAAATTTTATTTGAAAACTGATCTTAATTATAAAATAAATTAATATAACTGTGTAAACAACTTAGATTTTAATATTTAAATAAATATAATTTATTAATTTTTAGAAAACAATATAACGGTATAAATTATTTAAGAAAATAACTGCATTGGCTATTAATTGTGCTCGTTGTTACAGTAATACTGTTAAACAGTATCGATAGTACTGTACCTTATATACATGTATACCTTACAGGTAGTTAATTAAAACTTTTTATTCTATTAAAACTTAAGTTCAATTATTACATTAGAGTTATACTATATAATTATACAGATGTATAGGTATACATAAGTATGGGTTCAATAATAGCAATTATTGCGGAGAATTCTCTTTGAAACGAATTTTCTTCTCTCGGTTGACGACAATCTTCTGATCATTTGACTTATGATTTGTGTAAAACATTTTGCCACCGAATCCAGTGCTAGCCTTAAGTGTTTGCCTAAAGAATACCTATAACTGAATCCACACTTTTCTATATTGTCTGAAACTTACCCTATTTTCAGATTTTTCAGAGTGTTGTCTGCATTTTTGGTCCAAACGGCTATTTTGTTGACATTGTGTCTAATCATGAGCACTGCTCCACAGATTTCATTGATATAATCATCAGATGAGCCGTTGTATCCAGTTATTGATAACAACTGTTCAAATCTCATGTAATCATTATGTATTTCATATTATTCTTACTATACGTACGAGTTTGAGCCAAATATCATTCAAGTGGCTGATGTGTCTCCAGTCCTTCTTTCGGGGGAACTCCAGTACCCATCGGCCACCGCCTCGATTAGCCGGGTCCTCCCACATGGGTTTGACTCCCTCTCTGAATACGCAATAATTGAAATGAGAGCCAAGGAGACCAAACTCAAAGCCTTTCAGTTCATCATAACATCTATAATGAAGTAATTTTATTAACAAAATCAAAATTGTCATCAAATGGTACAAAACCTCCAGAATTCTTCTTTAGTCGAAAACGAAGTCTTCATTTGCAGGAAGTCCTCCCAATTCCAGGCCTGTCTATTGGTTGGCTTCCAATACCAGATTTGCCACTTTTTATCCATTGAATTGGTATTTACTGTCTTCAGCGGACTCTTTAGATTCTCCCCTCTCTGTAAAGAACTGAACGCTCGGATCAAAGACAAGCCATCACTGAATTTGTTGGCCTTCTTCTAAACATTTCAAAAATAATTAGCATTTATTTAATTGTTAATTATATTTACAATAGGCTTTTCGTCTGAATCTGATCCAAATAATGAATCAATCAGTTGTCGAGTGATATCGATGGCCATGTCTTCGTGAACAGACATAATACTTGTAATAATAAAATATATAATGAAAGACGAAGACTTGGAAGAAGTTTACAGAGACTTAAAAATAATAAAATGAACGAAATTTAACAGATTTTGTAATTGAGAACCAGTCAACTGACTCATTGAGCATCATTTGTTAGACTGATTGTGAGTCCACTTATAAGTTACAAATTGATTGTGACTATAATAATTTTAAACTTTAACATATCACCTTTATGTTAAAGGTCCTAAAAATAGCCTTGAGTCCAAATACTCAATATTTTCCTATAGGAATAATACTGTTAATGAATATTTTTGTGTATTATCAGCAATACTAAGAATTCAACCTTAAATTCATTACGATTTGTATAGTTATGTCAATAAGTTAGTATAGAAATTATATCAGAAATTTAAATTAAGCAAAATGTTTCTTTTTCTCTTATATTCTATAACTCAATATTATATTTACAGTATATATGTGAGAATAGAGTTACTTGAATGCAAACTAAAGGTATAGTTATACTGCACTGTATACCAGTATGTGGAGATTTTTAATCATATATTAATAATTCGCGAGATTACCCTGGTATTTTTAAGGAGCCCTCACCTCATCTACTAACAGGTGATATAGGTTCTATAATCTTTTACCTGAAAGTTATTTAATTAATAACTTTGAATCGAAAACAATAAATGGCTTTTTGATCCTGGCTTAAATATTTACAAGCAATTTGTTTGTTACTATTATGTAATTTAGTAATTTCTAAATTATTTTTATGACTCAAATATTTTTCCACAAAAAGACATTTAGTTTAAATTATATTCAGAAGTAGTGAATCACAACACTTGTGCTACAAATTATAGCTTATGTCTAGACTTTCCTTTCTATTCATCTCTTTTGTTCAAATCTATTGCTAAACATATTCTCAAATGTGTTCATAGTATTGAACAATAACAGTGTAGAATTTGCATCAAGCTGTTTTACAAATTTAGGTAAATATTAAGTATTTAAAAATATATATTAATTAACCAAGCTTAAAATTATGAGGGGACGTATATTTTTATTTTATATAATAAATTCTTGTACTGTATAATCAAAATGTAGTTTTTTATTTATTAGAAATATTTTTGTTAGCAATAAAATATATATTAATTAACCAAGCTTAAAATTATGAGGGGACGTATATTTTTATTTTATATAATAAATTCTTGTACTGTATAATCAAAATGTAGTTTTTTATTTATTAGAAATATTTTTGTTAGCAATTTAGTCTACAAATTATGATCTAACCATAAATTAAAGAGTTAATACAGTATAAGGCAGTGTAAGTCTGAAAGTCTGATAATAAGACAGTTAAAGAGTTGCAGAGAAATAGTTTGCAATTTTGAAGCACTTGTTTTGGTTTAGCTATGGTTATGGGTTTGGTTTTGGACAGTAAGAAGTCCGGCTCTAAACTGCATTAATGGCACTTCGGCTACAGTTATCACTAAAAACGATTGTTTTATGTCTAGACTTCTCTATATTTATGGCCAACTATTCTATACATTCAATAACATTACGCATGTGTTTATGGATATAATATGATTTCGTTTCTTATTACTGTTATTTCCGTTCAAAATTCTATTCAATAGTCTTCACGTTTTTCTATTTATTTATTCATTCATTCATTTTTATCAAATTAAAATTTAATAAAATATTTATATTTATATTGATTTGTTTCTATAAACAAGCAATAGATTTATAAAATTGTTTAAAATATGTTCAAGAAATCTCATGAATTAACTTTTAAATCAATGTTTGTCTCTACATATAGATGCAATGTTTTTAGATATATTTTACAACAATTTCTAAGCAAACGCAAACTCAGATAACAAATGATTTCTTATTGCTTGTATCGTAATATTATTATGAGACAGATCTTTGTAATCACTGTTTTAGTAAATGCGTGAATACTTACAATAAAATTTTATTGAATATAAATACTTTTATGAAAAGGGAATATATTTTGGACTCAAAGTAATTATTGGTTAAAAATATAGTTAATATAACTTTGTTTGAGACAGGAATCCAATCTCTATTGCATAAGAATATCATTGATTAGACTAATTATTAAAATAAATTACTTTTTATGTATGAAATAAAAGCAAATTTTTAAATTTAAAAATTTATTTTTTGGTTAAGAGTTGTTATATTTGAATGCAAAAGTAGACAAATAATTATATATCGAAATACCGGTATTAGTATATTAACTAGTAAGAGTATAATTGAAATACAAATAGTAGCCATAAATTCAAATATATTGTAAAATATAGTTTTGTGTAAATAACACTTCGGATTAATTAAAGTATTATAACTTATATGCATTAAATTTATTTGAAATAAAATGATGTATAACTCGAAAACTCAATTAAATAGTTTTGAATTTTACGAAATTCTTTGAGTGGAATAAATTAAACGAATAAAAAGCGGTTTCAATTCAATTAGAGACTAGTGTCTCACAATTGCTATTAATTAACATAAGCTCTACACTTATTACAGTTATATTCAAATACAGAGATAACTCCGATATAGACATGCGTTCAAACATTTTGATGAACTCTTGGAAACATTTGTGTCTCGACTCAGCCTTTCTTCCAATCGATACTTTTGAAACGAAAACTAAAGTATAGTTTTGCGTATAAATAGCTATAAAAGATAAACTAAACATAAAAGAGCATAATTTACAAACAAATATCCCTATTATTTTTATAATATATTTGATTATATAATACTTGTTGTAATAATAGAACTAAGTTTAAGACATGAAAGTAGACTAAGCATTAAATTATAAGTGATTTAAATCTCAAGTTTTATAATATATGCGTTTAAAAGAAAAGTTTCTAAATAATAAATTCTTGTATAAATGCAGTCAAATATGCCAAATAAGTTTTGCCGACAAAATAAATATTTGAAAATCGATTTTTATTCTATGTTTAAATAATTTCATACAATATCACACACTTTTATCAACACATTATAACAATTATTTTATGTTATTTCATAATTATTTATATTTTACAATTTTAAATCCAGTTATTTGATTATGCTTATTATTCAATTCTTTATACACATACATGTTATAACATTAATGTATTTAAAATTATTTGGTATTTAAATATGTTTTAATATATGGCAAGATTTGATAACATTTGAAACACAACAATCATTTCAACAAATTATACAAATATTTGTATTTCTATCATTAATACCATATTTACCGATTTATTGATAGAATAAATAACTATAATTATAAATTTAACCATGGCCAGTTACATTATTATACTGTATATAAAAAATTAAGAGTATAACTTAGTAAATTTGAATGAGTTTTAATTATGGTATTAAATCAATAAATACCCAGGCCACAGATTTACAGATTCAATTAAAAATATTGTGTTAAATTATGTTGAGAATCAAATAAATGAGATCAAAGATTTGATAAAAGTAACTATTATTTGATAGTTTTATAAAGACAGCTTTTTCATTCAAAACTACACTTACTCTGGATTTAGCCAAGCATATATTGGAATCTGCAAACTTGGCATATACCATTTTATTCTACACTATTTTATAAGTTAATTAGCCTGGTCAAATATGGCGAATGGCCAGACACTTCTCCGTACGGACAATAGTTTGTCCGCATATTCTACATGTTATTCCCTATTCATTCGCTTTTTAACGCTTTTATGAAGCATTAATCATTTTAACATTGTTAGTCAGCATGAGTTTAGTTGTATTACTAAATATTTTTCCTAGTTAAACATTACTAAATGCATAATGAATAAGGAATGAATAGCATTGAATTTTAAGCAATGAATAGGGAATAACATGTAGAATATGCGGACAAACCATTGTCCGTACGGAGAAGTGTCTGGCCATTCGCCATATTTGACCAGGCTAATTAACTCATAAAATAGTATAGAATAAAATGGTATATGCCAAGTTTGCAGATTCCAATACAGTATATGCTTGGCTAAATCCAGTTAGATTCAAATAATATTATCTCTCTCTCTCTCTCTCTCTCTCTCTCTCTCTCACACACTCACTCACTTTCACTTACTCATAACTTATGAGTCATAAGTATAGTTTTCTGCAATTAACACATCAATATTAAGTCTCTTTTATAATTTTGTAAAATAATAAATAATAGTAAAGTTTATTAAATGATAACGTAATCTAAGACAACACAAAAGTGATAAAATGCAATGCTTATGATTTAAAAAAAATATGAATTATACGAAAATGAAAATGAGTTGCAAGTGAACCAAAAGAATGTTGGACCCATAATTGGGTACTATTTTTCATGTAAACTTCTAATGAAGTGTATGAATAAAGTAAATGGAAATCATTTACGGAATGTTAGACTCTATTGAGAAGTGATAGGAATGGAGTCAAATATAGGTTCAATTTTCGCAACTGCTTTCAAATCATTTTCAGTGCCATTTGGTTTGGTTTCATCCGTATTTAAAATAGTTTTAATTGAATGGTTTGTATAACTTTTAGGATTGAGTTCAGCATTTGGATCCAATGGGCGAATGAATTGTTGGTAACTCTGGTCATGTTTTCCCATCATTTGTCTCTCCATTGACTGAACCTTATTAACCAATATTAAACAGTCGTCGGTATACCTGGCATAGCTATACTGGCTC